ACTCCATCAGAGAATAACAGACCAATGTGAACTCCAGGAAACTTTAAGGATTCCAGGGTTATGATTTTCTGTAATGTTTCCAAAGGAAAATATTATACAACATTGCTTAAAATGTCTATAACACCTACAAATAATCTGCTTTTACTAGGAAAAGAAGAACAGTGTTGAACTATTTGTGTCTCCCATAAACCGAAAAGCAGGAATTTCTGACGCTCTGCCATCTGAGGAAGTGTTGCGTTCACTTAACATCAATGTTTTACATCAAAGCTTATCCCAATTTGGAATCACAGAAGTCTCCCCTGAGGTATGGCATTGCGTGGAATATTTTATTTAAAAATTTGCACACTTAGCATGATATGGTAATCCAACCCCACGAGGCTTTTAGATGAAAGCTGTTTATGGTATGTTATTTGACTTGGAAAAAAAAAAATCTCCCAAAGGGTCAGAATTCTCTGCTCTTCAAACTAGTGATGTTTGTTCCTTAAAGAAATTCATTTTCATATCAAAGTTCCACTTTTTGACACTTTCTTCAGAAATTTTATGGCCTTGTAACTTATTTCAACTTAACCAGTAAATTTAGTCTAGAAGGAAGACCAGTTACATTACTTGAAACTGATGTCAAAACAAACAAAACCCCCCAAAAAACCAAACAGAAAAAAACCCATTATTTGTCTTTTCTTCTCAACAGATACACCTGTCCACATGGCCTTCATTGGGGAAAAATGATTACTTTAGAATTAAGTTGGAATGTGTCTTTTCCTTTGCTGAGGAAACCAGACATAAACACGGGCAATATTTGCTTTATTATATTTTCCAAACATAACACTTTTCAAAATTTCCCCTACCACCTCCTCCATCTTGCTTCTGAGTATGTTTAGTCTCCACAAACTGGAATGATCGACATCCTAAACATAGGATGTTTATTGGATGTATATAGGATGTAATTTGATTCAGAAAATCATAGAACTTGACCTGGAGGGAACATATGAACATTTTGCTG